CGCCGGCCGCACTCACCCACTCCAGGACCTTGATGAAGCCCAGCGGCTCCTTGAGCGGGACCAGGTTGAGCTGGAAGGCGGACATCCTCTGAGGGAAGGAGGGGAGAGAGTGAGGACGGCGGGGCGGAGGAGGAGGGGACCCGCGACACCCGAGCAGCACGACGGCGAGGACGGGAAGGCGGGGCAGGCGGGCTGGGCTCGGAGGCGGGGCGGGGCTGGGCGGCGGTTGAGCCGCGGGCAAAGCGCTTGGGCGGAGTCAGAGAGAGCGGCTGGGGAGGAGAGGGCCGGCAGGGGCTGGGAAGGGAAGGCTCCGCCCCTAGCCGCACCTGCCCGAGCCTGTTGATCCACTGACGAAGCACGTAGAGGCTGGACGCCATACTACGTGCGTCACGCCCCCTTACTGAAGCCCGGCCCCTGGCGTTCGGTCGCTTTCTGCGCACGCGCGCTCCCAGGCCGGGCGCTCCGTTTCCGGTGCTTTCCCCGCCCCTGGCATCGCGCATGCGCACTCGGACCGACGCGCACCTGCAGCCCTTGCCACCCACACCCTTACGCGGGGCGACGCTCTTCCGCCTGACACAGCTCGTGCTGGCAGTGCCCAGCTCCTAGATGCGTTCATGCAGTGTTGACACAGATGAAGCATTTCAAAGCTTCTGTTAGGGGCCTTTAATTAAAATGGTGAAAAATTATTGCAAAACAACGGCCTTCTGGCGACCTGCAGTTGGTAGGGTGCCTCGGCAAAGTCACTCACCAAACATTGCTGCAGAGATTACTTTTATTCTCAGTTATTGGAACCAGGGTTGAAGGAGGAAGTCATGCCTATTAGCAGAAGACCTCGCTGGATATGCTTTTGGTGACCTAACTAATGCTCCTTCCTTGGGAGTTTCCTGCGGAAGGCAACTTTCTCAGGAGCCACCTAAGTGACACCTTACCCTGGTGGCGAGCTCAAGCTGGTGACCTGTTGTCTGGTTTTTCAGTACCTCACATGTACTTGGACAGCTGGAATAGTGCCCTGTTTGTGAGTGTGGTAAGATGGTTATCATCATGAAATACCTGGTAAATAAGGATGAAAGGACTTCAGCGCAAGAGGATCTCAGTACAACTTCCAGGTACTTAATTGTACAGTAATACCTCGGTTCACTAATGCTTCTGTTTGCGAACAGTTAAGAACAGTAGCGTTAGGCAGAGTTTTGCTTCCCTTTGTGAACTCTGCATCAGATGACAAACAGACCATGGCCATCTTCTCAGCGTGAACACCAGCAGGGCTGTCTTCCCTGCTGTGGCGTGTGGTGTTGGCCTTCTCTCCTAAAGATCGTGGTTGTGGACAGATGTGTGTGCACTTACTGTGAAGCGTTTTTGTGTACTTTTTAGCACATACAGTACTGTACACTGTTATTTAATCCAGCATGGCTCCAAAGAAAGTGCAGAGCAATAGTGAAGATAGCAAGAAAGTGCGGAGCAAGGACAGTAAGAAGAAAGTTTTGAAGAAAATAACCATTGCATTGAAGAAGGAAATTGTAGAAAAGTATGAGCATGGTATTCGTGTGACTGATTTGGCCTTGGAGTACAAGATGGCCAAGTCGACAATCTCGACTATTTTGAAGAATAAAGATGCCATCAAAGGAGCTGATGTGGCAAAAGGAGTCACGACGTTAACCAAGCAGAGGACACAAGTGCTGGAAGAGGTGGAAAAACTTTTGTTAGTGTGGTTGAATGAGAAACAGCTGGCAGGTGATAGTGTTAGTGAAGCTATGATCTGTGAAAAAGCCAGGAAATTGCACGGTGATTTACTGCAGGCAAATCCCTCTACAAGTGGAACAAGTAATAAATTTAAAGCCAGTAGAGGGTGGTTTGATAAATTCCGCAAGAGAAGTGGCATCCTCCGTGTGATAAGACATGGTGAGGCTTCCAGTTCTGACAAGGCTGTTGCAGAAGCCTACAAGAAAGAATTCTCACAATTCATGAAGGCAGAAGGATATGTCGCTCAACAAGTGTTCAATTGCAGTGAAACAGGGCTTTTCAGGAAGAAGATGCCTACCAGAACCTACATCACGCAGGAGGAAAAGGCACTACCAGGGCGAAGTGAGCAGCAGAGGGCGCTTGTTGAGAAATTTTTCACTGAGAAAGAGGAAGACAGGGATGAGGTTAGCAGTGATATGATAAAATCCATTATGGTAAAATGGAATGAGTGCCAGAATTTCTTTGAGAAGCACCACCCCAACATAACTATAACGAACAGAGTGTTGAAGCTGATGAACGATAACGTGGTCTCTCATTTCCGGAGGGTTATGCAGCGCAGGAAAAAACAAGTGACATTAGGCAGATTTTTTGTCAAAATTGACCCTGCAGCTAAGAAACAAAGAAGAGAGGAAACCCCTGAAGGAGATCTCCCTGATGTCCTTATGGTAGGGGACTCCCCAAACAATAACCTCCTTCCTACCTACCTTCCTGCCCTCCGCGCCAAAAGTCTCATCAAACAAGGTTAGTGTTCTTTCTCTTCATCTTGTACTGTACTTTGTTTCGTATTTTGTGGTTAAAAGATACATATGGTTCAGAATGGATTAACCCTATTTACATTGAACCTTATGGAGAAATTTGATTTGGTTCATGACCAGTTTGGTTCATGACCAGAATCTTGGACCAAATTGAGTTGTGAACCAAAGTACCACTGTATTTGCTAAGTGCCACTGAAGGCATTTCATGAAGGCAGCTGTTCTGGAACATCTTTCTAGTAAGCTAACCTGCCTGCCTTCTATCCCTCCCTCCCCCTCTCCTTGCTGAGATTGAACCTAAGCCTTCATGCATGCAAGACAAGTGCACTGGCACTGAGCTGTACCCCATCCCAATCCTTTTTTTTTTTTTTTTTTTTTTTTGAGGCCTGTCTCTATGTTTGGTTCCCAGAGTGCAATGGGAATATGTCCATTTCCTCGTAGACAATGTATTTCTTTTTTTGCTGGCTCAAATTCTGAAGTTCCCAGCACATTGCCTTGAGCTCAGTGGCACCTAGTGGCTGAATGCAGATTCCATTTCCTAAGCAAGAAGGCATTTTAGATGCCCTGGTGGCTGGGTGGGTGGGGTGGCCATGCATTGCAATCCGGTGCACCCAAGACCAGCGTGAGCGTAATCCACATCTTTGCGCTTGATTTCATGCTCTCTTGATTTCATTCTTTCTCTTTTCCCTTTACCCCTCCTTTACCTTTGTGTCATAGGCATCTGGGGATGGAGTAATGGATAGGATTATTTAACTTGAGCTTCGTATGCAGAAAGATTCAAATTAGACTCAGTGTTATTTCTAAAAGAGATAGACAATAGAAGGATGCACTTTGCAACTTTAGTAAGAAGTGTAAAGACCCAAAACAAGCAAGCCATGATGGGCTTGTGGTCCCAGCTACTATGGTGGCTGAGGCAGATGAGACGTGAAAGTGAAATCCTGTCTCTTAGTAAAAAAGGATCTGAAACTTATTTTCACTTATGGGAGCTTGCAGAAACTGAAATTCACTTGTTGAAGGTTTCAGAAACTGAAATTCACTTATTGAAGGTTTTTAAAAGTGGAATTTCCTGTGCCCTTTCTCATCTTGTGAGCTTTACTTCATGCTGCCTCTCTTCTGCCTCCTGTCTGCTTTCTCTTCTGCTTCTTGTTCACTTCCACCAGTGGGGGGCCTGATGGCTGTTTCTCCTCAGGAAACCTTTAGTGCTGGGTAGAGCCCATGCTAGAACTTTAAGAAGCCCCCTTCCTTGGCTGTGTGCCATTGGTTTTTTTTTTTTGTCTTTTTGAGACAGGGTCTCACTATGCAGTTCAGGCTGGCCTTGAGCGCACTTTTGTAGCCCAGGCTGGTCTTGAACTCACAATGATCCTCCTGCCTCAGCCTCCCGAGTGCTAGGATTATAGTCGTGCACCACCACGCCCGGCCCACCATTGGTTTTTAAAGGTAGGGACCACTGAGGGTGAGCAGAACCACATCAGGTCACTCTTCAGGATTCATTCACGGGTACTGACTGAGCTCGACCAAGTAAGAGTGAGCCATTGTGGTGATCTTTGGTTATGTACAGCCTAGCACGGCTACTGTCGGTCAGCTAGGGAGTGCCTGCCTTCCTGGGGGACACTGGCAGTGGCTGGCAGAGCCAGTGACATCTGATTAGGCAACATAGTTGTGAAATTATTTTCATGTTCCCATAATGAGAGTGTTGAAATAACAGCATTTCATTGAAACCACAGATGTTCAAAAGCAGTGAAGGACGTTCAGATGACTGTATCATATTGACTACAATCCTCATCATATTTTAATTTGTTCCTCAATCTAAGGAAAGAGCCAGAAACTCTGAGCACGACATGTTCCAAATGTGCCCCCCACTGCTATTATGAAATAATTCCTATTAATGTAAAATTGTCTCATCTGTCGGAGGTAGTATTGAAGCATACTGCTTCATCAACAGCAGAGCCATGGCTGAAATACTTGTAGAACTTGTCAGGGTTTCGCTTTCTCTTTCTTGTGTACAAAACATGTGCCAGGTTTTGATACTTGGGATTTAAGGATGTTCAGAAAGCCAAGAAGGAAGCTATATTTAGCCAAGTCTTGTCATTGGCTAACTATAATATTCATTTGTTTTTCTCAATGGGAATACAAAATTTCAGTTATTGTGTTTGTGAGACTTTGTGACTAACTCCCAACCACTTTTCTTCTGAACATATAACATTTAGTATGAACATATTCAAAACTTGAGTTTCCCTTATACACAAACAGATTTTCCTTTTCACCAGTGAGTTGAACAGTTATTCTAGAAAAATCAAGAAACAATTCTGCATATATTTAGTTGTACAACAGACTGATTCAAGACCCAGAAAATCTTGAAATAGTTAAACTGAAGCCTTTTAGAAATAAAATTTGAATTTTAGCACAATAATGATGTAGCCATTTTGAGCATGTATCTTTTTAAAAAAAAACTTTGAATTTGTAAATATTTGTCAAAACAAAGAAATTGGCATATTACTACTGACTATAGAATTTTTCAAACTTCATCAGTTGTTTACCGGTGTCTTTTACCACTCCAGGATCTGATCCAAGAATCCACATTTAATCTCTTGAGGTCTTTTTTGAAGAAGTATTCAGGATAGAAGTGAACATGTAAGACAAAATTATTTTCTATTCTGTTGAAAATGGGAAAATGTGTACAAGAAGAAATCAGTATATGGCAGCGGATTACCTTGACACCAGAAGCTACCTGCATTGGGGGTGCTGCTGGGGTGTTAGTGTCTATGCCTGTCAGGCTCCTGGGTATTGGTGCCCAGACTTGTAGCTCTGACCTATTGCCACATATAATAGATTCAGGTACACATCTAAAACTTGGTGTCTGCTCTCATAGCCCTGCTGCCTGCCTCATTGTAGTAATTGTGATCCTTTAGAGAGTCCCTTAAGCTTTTGCAGTCATGTAGAGTGGGTATACGTCAGTGAATAACAGCCAGCTGTGTTGTCAGACTCCTGGGGTTAGGCCCTGTTTTCACCCTGTGACCTTCAAGCTGTAAACCTCCCTAAGTTTCCATTTCCTTGTATCCAGTTCTCCGAGAGGAAATGAGGTCTAAATTGTATAATCATCAGAAATTACTTAGAAGAGCGCCTGATACAGAGTAAGAACTGAGTGACTGCAGTTTGTCGTCGTCACTGTGTTCCAGAAAAACTGCGTGCATTAGTCTACCAACGGGGTGGTGAAGCAGCAAGATTTAGTGCTAGAGGAAAATCTGTTCAGGGAAATCAAATTTATTTATTTTTTAGGAAGAATTAGAGTTATAAGGAAGAGTTTGGTTGATAAAAGGAAAGAAATAAAATTTGAGAACAGAATTCTGAAAAGAAAAAAAAGAACCAAAGAAACAAACTTACGTGGCAGATATTCTAATCCCCTCTTCGTGGATCTGGTTTGATCTGTTTGTATTGGAAGTGAGCGTAGTTCTCAGCACCATTTTAAGCTTAGCTCACCTTTAAGCAATGAATAAGTAGGGATAGATGTCCTCATTTGTAGAGATTAATTTTATAATAATCTTCACAAGTGTTGTAATTAGGGATATAAGGAAAAAAGTCCTGTATAAAAACGTATTTTGAAGTAACATAGCTTGGTGTTTGCGTAGTGTTTTCCATTTTTCAGAGAACATCCATAGTTGTCTTTTCCTGTGATCTGTGAATTAAAGGAGAGTGCAGGAATTACGGTCCCCATCTTGACCTTTGAAAAATTGAAGCTCAGAGGAAAGAAAGCTTATCAAGAAGGGCTTTGTAGAGGAAGTGGCACAATAGTGAGGGTAGAGAGATGCTTAGGGGCTTCCCCAGGTGGGATGCTGTGGATGCTGGGCATAGTAAGAGGGAGAGTCCTCTGATTCTTCATCTGTCTGCTGTGCAGAGGCAGGGCCTTATGTGCTGGCCTTGGGGTTTGAACTTTATTTCCTGACAGCGAGTTGCTTTTAGCCAAAGGAGAGTAACATGCTCAGATTTTAGTTTAGGAAGATCACTGTGACATTAGTGTAGAAGATGAATTGGAAAGTTCTTAAGTTGTGGGGGTTCATGATTAATGATATTTTCTTTCTTTCTTTTTTTTTTTTTTTTGGTACTGGGAATTGCATGGATGATTTTTTTTAAGTCTGTTGGTCAAGAGATCTGAGGGCCAGGTATAGTAACAATAAACAAGAATCTATAAACCAAATTGTCACTAGCTGCACAATACTGCCTGCCACAAAAGTATGAGATTTAGACACGCAAACCACTGGCTCCTGTCCTAGATCTGCCAGATATATACATTTGCATAGAACATTACTGTTCAGTATTTTTGGCTTTAATTTCCTTTACCTCATCTGTATAATGAGGGTATTTGTATGGCACCAAATTTGCATATGTTAATTAATGTTGATGAACTACTTCTGACAACAAACAGGACTTGGGTGTTAAGATAAATGTGAGGATGTCATAGGCTGGTCCCAGATTCGTACTCAAGGGCGGCTGGTTCAGTGGGCTGTTTAAGCCATGTAGCCATGTCAATATGGAGATTTTAGGATCCAGTTCTGAGCAGCTTCTGTCAGAATCATTTGTAGGAAAATAGATGCACCTTGAGCCATAATAAGTGAAATAAATCAGAGGCACAAGCTTAAATATTGCATGGTTTCTCTTATATGAAAAGCCCAAAGTATAAATAAATTAAAGAGCAAGATAAAAGATAGGTAGTAGAGAACAGGGAGATATTTTTGCAAATGGGATGAGGACCAAGAGGTGGAGGGAGGTGGCAGGGAGCGAAGGGGAAGTAAAAAGAATTAAGATGTGTTAGTACAGGTACCAACTCCCCATGAGGAATGCAATCACTATGTCCTGCAAACATGTACTGATAAAAATTCAAAAAGGAAGTAATTATCAAAGGATTTCCCTATTTTCTTGTCTCCCTGGAAAGCAGAGTGCCCCAAATATTTTTACAGAGTTTCAAGTTTATTAACTCAGGGTTCTCTTAAAATT